GTGACTTGTGGATGTGGTATTGAACTAGCTTATTGTTAAATCATCTGAAAATGGAATTTTTAACAGGTGATGATCGACTGTATTGTCAAGCATGCGCCAAACTAACTGACTGTTATAAGGAAACAAGTATAGCTGAGGCACCAGTCAATCTAATAATAAAGATCATATTAGATTTTTTGTGGGAATTTATTTGATGTTTCTTCGGTTCACACCGTATTCTCAACTATGAATTGGAGTTCAAGAATAGAGAAAACATTTTTGAAAAGTTCATGAGAGGATCTTTTGGAGTGTTCAATTGATTTATTAGATGCTTCTTCTCAGAAACAAGCTACCGTCATGCTTGATGCCATAACTGAATATTTACTCATTTTGACGCACGTAATTACGTTAGTAGAGCAATAAATTGTATTAATAGCCAGTTATTAACTTATATAATTATATGTTTGTTGACAATTGTAATCTCGACTTTTTATTTGCCGAGTTGAAATTGGATATTCTTATTTTTAGTATATATGTACCTATGTTCATTTTAAAAGTGGCATTGCAACTATTCCAAGAACGTTTTTGATATATTTCAACTACATGTCATTCGATAGAAACTGTAAAATATTGAATTTAATGAGGGTTTACCGTGATGGATATAAAGTACTTGGCTCTGTTACAGTTCCTGGATATTGTAACATAAGTTCATTTGCAGAGACCTAGTAGCATTTACCGAGAGGAACACGAGAGTGGGACTAGGACCTTTTCAGCTCGAAAGCGAAGAAATACAACATAAGCAAGGACCACAAGACACCGAAGTACACAGTTAACACAAACTTCACGTTTGGAGTAATGGAACGTGGAAAGTTTATAGATAACACAGAATGGGAGTTGTAATTTGCTGAGTAGGAAAATTATTCTATTACAGCTGTCCGCTCGAATTGTATACATCCAAGTGGAACTGTACGCTATTTTGCAATGAACAAATAAAATCACTTGGAGCGGATTGATATTCTTATACACAGTCAGGCCGCAACTGGATCATTAATGAATCCGAAATTGATATCGAGACTGGTCTGGGAGTAGTAACACAGAATATTTGACCTATATAACGGGTCTTCCGACAGGGACTTCTGGCAAAAACATCGTCGCTGTCTGTGAGAGTGTGCAGGAGAATCCGAGACATTTGATTTCACGTCGCTCACAAGTACTCGGCCTTTCACAGATCACAACTTGGCGAATATTGCGCCGTGGCTTGGGTCTGCACCCGTAAAAAATTAAACGGACCCATGAAGTGGAGGTAAACGACCATAGACAACGAGGTGTGTTTGCTGAATGGGCTCTAGAGCAGTTGGCAACTAACCCTAATTTTCATCGAAAATTCATCTTCAGCGATGACGCCCATTTCTGGATGAATGAGTACGTGAATAAACAAAATTGTGGAATCCACATGAAATCCAAAAGTGTCCAATGCTTCCCGAAAAAGTCACTGATTTTGGGCTGGCGACGTCATCGGTCCATATTTCTTTGAGATCGACTCTAGGTCGATGATTACCAACTTCTTCTGGTCTGAATTGAATGGTCTGGCCATGTGGTTTCAACAGGACGGCGCTTTGTGCCACACAGCTCATGCCACATTGCATATTCTGCACGAGCGATTTGAGGACATGGCCATCTCACGTTGAGGTTATGTGAAATGGCCACCAAGATCGTACGATTTGACTCAGTTAGACTTTTTTGTGGGGTTTTCTCCAGTCTCAGGTGTATGCGAATAAACCACAAACCAAAGCGGTCCTCAAAGCCAACATAACCTATGCCATCGGTCAATTTCAGCCTGATTTATGTGCCAAAGTCATGGAAAAATTAGACGTTCCAGATGCGCTCCACCCAGAGAAGCCGTGGCGGACAAGTAAATAAATAAAATTCAATGGATATCTCACACACACTTTGTTCCATTTAAATCTAAAAATAGGAAGCACTGAATGGAAGACCCAATAGGTTTATACTGGGTGCATGGATATTTGAATGTTTAGGAATCACAGAAAACCAAAAAACTGATGAGTGCGGATAGTAGTTAAACTAGTTGGCAACTAACCCTAATTTTCATCGAAAATTCATCTTCAGCGATGACGCCCATTTCTGGATGAATGAGTACGTGAATAAACAAAATTGTGGAAATTGTGGAATCCACATGAAATCCAAGAGTGTCCAATGCATCCCGAAAAAGTCACTGATTTTGGGCCGGCGACGTCATCGGTCCATATTTCTTTGAGATCGACTGTAGGTCGATGATTACCAACTTCTTCTGATCTGAATTGAATGGTCTGGACATGTGGTTTCAACAGGACGGCGCTTTGTGCCAAACAGCTCATGCCACATTGCATATTCTGCACGAGCGATTTGAGGACATGGCCATCTCACGTTGAGGTTATGTGAAATAAAAAAATTCAATGGATATCTCACACACACTTCGTTCCATTTAAATCTAAAAATAGGAAGCACTGAATGAAAGACCCAATAGGTTTATACTGGGTGCATGGATATTTGAATGTTTAGGAATCACAGAAAACCAAAAAACTGATGAGTGCGGATAGTAGTTAAACTAATGTTGAACTAGATCGTGATAGACACATGCCATCCGCAATGACATCCGAAGCTGGATCAGGAGGTCATAGAGAGGTCATTTAGAGGTCATGTCTTGTAATTGAGTAGTCGGCAATGACCGGATGGTTTTTAGTTCATGTGTTCTGCCGCCCGTTAATGAACGATGTCGCTAATGAGGGTGGTGTATCAAAAGGACCTTAATTTTCAACCCTAATATCAATTTCGTATATGTATCGTGTAAATGGGTACCGGGGTACCGTCCCGTGTCATACTATCAAGACGGTTCTGGGATTGTCTGAGAAGATGAATGAAAAACTGCTTTTTCAAAAAAGCAGGAATTGGCTCAGAATAATTTTAGCATTACTCATTGGACATTGTACATTTGGAGCACACATAAACAAAGCAACAGTCACCTTTCTCGCTCCCTTGAGAGTAGACTTTGGAAAATCCTAACTTTCTACTACTTTTTCAGCCTGGAAAAGAATGAATAATGCAAGCTTTCTGAAGTCGAGCTGAGCCGAGCTCAAGTCAAAGCTTGGCCTTGCTCGAATACATCCCTAGTTTTTAGTGATGTTTGAATTTTTATTGTCATGTGTGCATTGTAATGTTTTACTTATTTGTGTTTGATTTATGTTATCAATGTTCTATTTCACTTTTTTCTCTTGGGAATCTCATAGCTGCAACTACTCCCCAGTCTATGGTGGTTGCGTGGAAGAGCGCTATTCTATCAATTTCTCAACATATAAAAGCGAACGATGCCATTTGCTGTTAAATTCTTCAAGATTTGTAGTGAAATTAAATGAAATGCTTTATTCAAATAGGATACAGGCATACTTAATAAATCCTTTGAACATTAATGTTTTAGTGTTGAATGTTTTTGTATGATTGTATTATTATTTACATACAAATTACTTTTTATTCTAGTATTGTACTGGTGGATTTGATTATTAAAAATTACAAATTTGTCAAAATATGAGCGTAGAAGGTTATGTAACATTTTGTAAACATAAATCATCGTTAAATATGTAAGCCTACTTTCTATAGATAACAATATTCAAAATGTGGTTGTATAATTGTCTTATATACAGTTATCCGTGATTGCATAGTTAAGTGTTGGGATACTCTTGTGAAAAAATATAATTTCTTCAACATTTTTTTCTGTATGTAGGTGAAATGGTTATTCATTGATAGATGATTGTCTAACATGAATCCTAGACATTTGAATTCAGTGATGAGCTCAATTTTATCATTTTCTATTTCTATTTCAATTTGATTTAAATCTAATTCTCTGTATTTAAACGGTGTAGTAAGTATCAAACCCTTTGTTTTGTTAACATTCAGCTTCAATTTATTAGTTTTTGAATATATAACAATATTATGCAATGCTTCATTCATGTTTTTAATAGCTTTATCTATATCTTTATCACTAACCGATACTAGGGCATCATCAGCGAAATAATGTTCATATTCATCTTCATTACATTTGCTGATATCATTAATGTATATTAAGAATAGTAATGGCCCCAAAATACTTCCCTGCGGAACCCCGTGGTCTATGCTTATTGCTGTTGATACAAATTCATTGATTTTGGTTACCTGCTTCCTTTCTGTGAGGTAATCACTGATCCAGTCAAGTACTTTTCCTTTAATGCCATATTTTTTCAATTTTTCAATTAATATTTCACGATAAACCTTTTCAAACGCACGTTAAAGATCTAAAAATACTGCTACAGTGTACATGCCTTTACTCATTTTATCTTTCTATTCAGTAACTGTAAGCTGAATTGCGGATTCGCATGAGTGTCTGCCTCTAAAACCAGATTGGTTTGTGAATAGTATGTTTTTTTTATTGAAATATTCCAACAGTTGTTGATATACTACTAATTATTTTCAGCGCAAGGTAAAGTGTTAATTGGCCGATATTCATCACACTTTTTTTGTGTTTGGAACTTTTTCGATAGGCGTAACTGTACTTGTTTTTAGATCATCTGGAAAACTACCATTTTGTAACGAGGTGTTGACAAAATGACACTACACATGTCCAATTACTTCAAAACTACTCTTTTTGCTCGATAATGCATCTACTTGTGATCCTTTGTTTGCTAAATTGGATACAATTACTTTCAAATCTTGAAGAGTTAGTATTTTAAAATCACTGTAACACTGTAACAATTTGTTATTGTTATTAAGGGTGACAATGAAAACTTTCATTACTATTATTATTATTATTGAAACAAGTGCTATGTTACCACCGTCACGTTCGTCGATTATTTACATCGTGGACGATTAGTAGCTCGTTCGCGCCGAGTCGCTTTCTATCTTGCATATCTTCCGAAATGAGAAGCACCTCGCCAACTTGTAACCTGTCAGTTTTACCATCGTCGTCATTATCTCGGTATCTGTTTCTTTTGCAGATTGCATAGTGAGCTCCGGTTCGCCACCGACCCGAGACAAATTGCGATGCGAAGATAAGGCCAGAACGAGACGTGACTGGAGGAACGAGAGATTGCGGGACATCGCGACCGCCCTCACCGATAGGTCGCCCGAATCGAGCTTGGCCTTACCTGCTGAAGGGCTGCTGCACATGAAGAAGGTGAGCTGTTTCTTATAAAAAAATCTTAGTTGATAACGCATTATTCGCTGTTTTCGGGTTCATTAGCTATGATCTGCAAGGTTTGTGGCATGCCGTTACGTCTACAACTGCGGCAGACAAGGCGATACGGCAATGGTCGACGTGATTTCCCTCCCTTGCTGCGATATACAAATTGAAAGTGGACTGGATGTGATCACGTTAATCATGGAACTGTATGTCAGATATTTCTTTGGTGTCATACCTAGATTACCCAATTCGACCAATCATTTCAATCCGCAAGGCTGCGAACATGAAAATCGCGACGGCCGAGCGTTGGCGACTGCGGGGCGGCGCGGAGCGAGGCGATGAGGAGAAGTGTCTCGCGTGGGCACGAAACACCATCGCTCGTTTCGTGCGCTTCGCCTATACTGTTGGTGTTGTATGCATCGCCACCGTTCATCACTCGTCCGTCGCCATTTTCGTGCCCGCAGACTAACAGTTTATTGTAATCACCAGCCAGCTTCTTGGCAAAACCTATAACCTCATACGATGACTGTGGTGGTGATGGCACCAAAGTTAGTCTGGCAAGTCTGTCTCTGCATACCAGAGAGACATTTGCTGTAAAGTTTTCGATCTACAGGAAGTTACTCCGTTCGTGATCATCGTTCTGACAATCACATATATCCGATGAATCTGTTTGGGGCCTGAACCTAAATATTTTTCGACAAATCCTTTGGCATGTCAATGAGGACAGACTGGCTTTATGTATAACCTTTTCTTAGCGTTTCACGTGGGTTTTAATCAAGGATATTACATCTCCTTCGCGAATGGAATAACCTCACTATTCAGGAAAAGAGGAGTCGATTCATCCAGATTTGTCTTCCTGGTGAATTAGACTATCTTAGTTTTGTTGGCATTTATAGACGGCTGCTTCTCTTCTGGCCCCAACTATGAACAACGTCTAGCGATCTTTGTAGGATATTACAGGCTACTCTTTATGACATAGTCCTTGCCAGGACGAAGGTCATCTGCATAGTATTGTTTGTCAGCCAAGGACATCATCAGGAGTTACCATAAGGAGGGATAGTATCCCACCGTGATGGTTGCCTCTGATAATTCTGAACCCAATGGCACATTCTTGAATAGCCCCTCTGCTTGTACGGCTTTAGTGCAAGCAACCTACTCTCAATTTGAATGAAACCAATCATATACACTTCTGCTCATATGCATGTGGATTACCTAATTTCGGAGAAACTGATGTTGGGTTGGTCTGCACAATATCTGTCATTTGAAGAGGGACCTACAACAGAAAGTTTTATTACTATTTCAGTGATTTTTTCTACAAATTTTGAACTGGAAGTTAGCAAAAAAGTTCTTTGTCTCTTTAATATCAAATAATCTTAACGTGTAATGCTTTTTGTGTTGTTTTCCAAGGCCGGTTAAATGAGTCCCGTGACTACTTTTTCGAATCCGTTTTTGAATAAACAATTATGAACATAGGTTTTAAGCTGATCTTGTTGTTAAGTTATTGAAAAGTGATTTTGACATCTTGATTCTTAATCATAGCATTCTAATACCAGTAGACGATAGAAGAATTTATTCTGCATACGATAAATATCGGGATTTTCGAAAGCTATGCGATATTTCATCAAATATAACTGAAAATTCATTAAATCCTTACCAGATTGTAATTTTATTATATAGTTACTGTGTTGGTAGATGGTGTAAACCAGTCAAAATTACAACATCAATTACCATACAAAAGTACCGTAATGAATCGAAAATTACTTGATTAAATCTTAAAATTAACAGGGTTTTTTCTATTCCCAAACAGATTTATTACTTCTGTAACGTCAATTGAACTTTACGATCGGAGATTGTTTTTTATGAAGGCGATAAACTCATTTTACTTTAAAGGAGAATAATTTCAGGTTCATTTCGATCATTAACGCGGTTCTGGTTGTGTCCTACAAAGTTATTAAGTTAATGGTGTGAAATTCCATGGACTTTGCAAAAATATACAAGCAGGTATGTTGAAACGGTCTATTTGGTATCTATACCAGCTGATTGTAGTTGAGTACCAATCATGGTAGAGCAAATGCATACTTCTATATTAAAAAAAAATAATTATACAACTTTTACGACTTCGACGTCTTTATAATCAATACCAAAGTGGTTGTCTTCAAATAAAGGGTGAGAATCAGCAAAATTTCCCTTTGTTGCATTGCCCGCAGTTAAGGCCTCCGTTGTACAACCTTATTTTGTTCAAGTGTCCTCATAACTGACAGCGTCAAATCCTCTTTTCAAATGATTCCTATATAAAGGTTTTCCGGTTTGTATTCTCGGGTATGTCCCAGTATTCTATATGTTTCTTATTGACCCATTTTTCAATCTGGTGCCGTGCCAAAGACTTTGGCACCCCCACACCTTGCAAAGAAGGGTGCTGCAAGCAGCTTCATCGGACCAGAACCTGTCATTGGCATCGCTTTAGGCTTTGCCAAACAAAGATTGAATGCCTGGATGGTAAGAAGATTTATAGACTTCTGGCTAAATCTTCCAGGATTGTCTGACTCTAAGGCGTTTATTAACCCTTCGAAGCTTGATACCAAACAATTGTTGGACTACAGTAGGGATGAACTACCATGTCTAACATGCCTTCTTACAGGTCACTGTCATTTGAATCAACATATACAGAGACTCGGACTGTCGGAAGACAGTGTGTGTCGCTGTTTGGAAACTGATGAAACAGTAGAGCACATACTTTGTGTCTGCCCCTTTGGGGACCGAGTTAGGTTTTTAGAGTTCGGCAGAGCCGTACTCTTTTCATCTGACCTGAAAGACCACTCACCATACAAACTAATCGACTTTCTTAAGAAGCTGGGTTTATTTGGTAGAGTGTGAATAGGTGTGAGCCACAATAAACTCTTGCAGGTTGCGGTGGAGGATCGAATAGACCCACTCACTTTGGACCTAACTTAACCTAACCTTACTCCCACAACTGGTCAAGACCTACATATGGAGTACCCTGGCATTCACTTTAGAGTTCGACAGCGCCTCAAGTGTAGCACAGCTGTCTGTGAAAATATTGATTAATTCATTTCCTCTAGGCAAATCAATGTTCCTTGCGAATTGCAAGATTGCATAGCGTTCAGCCTTGGAGACTGATGTGAACCGACCAAGTGGGTAACTCATATGAAGATTTCTCTTCGTACAGAATATTCCAGCTCCCGTCTGTATACCAGGTGTTCGCTTCTCCACATATTCCTTCCGATCCCATGTAACCCTGTGAATGTGTGCTTCCCCCATTAAAACTAGATGTGAAGGAGGAAGATTCATGTGTGTTCCCAATGCAGCTGTAGGAGTGGTTTCCATTGCTCCCGTTATTCCCAAACATGCAAGTCTCTGCATCCTGCTCAACTTGTTGATTTCGGTCGTTTGGATGGTTTAGAGCCAATACGTCATATCTGGTTTGAGCCCCAATGCCTTTCTGTAGGTGCACCTGGAGAAACCAATGAATCGTTCACAACTGATACATTCTGTCCTGGTTTTTTCACGAACTTTTTCCAGAAATATCTAGCCAACCAACACATCGACAGCTACGTTTTCATTTGAACGACCTGAATATCAAAACCATGTAATGGTGTGCATGAGCCTTGGCGGCAGGGGGCACATTACCTAGTCGTTTTTGATAAAGTCTATGTTTCTGGGTGAGCGTCAACCCGATAACATCGTGGGGGGCGTTCCCCACCGCCTCCTCTCGGCGGAAACGCGAGGGCGCGCCTGTCTGAAGTAGAAGTCACTTTGCCACTCTACCCTTAAGGCAAAAGTACTTATGAAATGCAGACATATAAATAGTTTATTTTAATTGATTGCTTTTGTTCACAACTGATCGTAGACTTCAACAAGAGTTGAGCAATCCGAAAGGCACATTTTGAGTTTCGTGCCTTAGACACCAGCATCAGCTCCCATTCTGAAAAGGCCATTTGTTTATTCTCTTTCATAATAAGTCACAAATAGGAACCGAGGTCATTGGTCAATAACATATAAATTAGAATGCAGAAATATAATACCACGGAAACTCATTAACGATACTCTTATCACTGAAGGTAATTTAGAGTCACAAAATGAGGTAATGAGGTTCAAAATAATTCACAAGACAGCCACGTTTGCCTCGTTTTTGGATTTTGCAAGGAGTTTTGATAGCGCAATCAGTAGATCAAATGTCATATTGTAGACCAGGGGTCTCCAAACTTTGAAGCCTTCGGGCCATAATGATTTTTTTCAGTTTGTTCCAAGGGCCAATTTCTGCCCTCAACTATATTTCTAGACTAGGATAGTCGCAAAGTGCGTGACCTAAGCAAACTT